GAGCTATCCAACAATACCGGTCTGGGAGGGAGCGTAAGGTCGGAGGAGCTGGCGAAGCCATACGCTGCTGTAGCTGTAATTTGTTCACAATCCAATGAAGCACTGACTCAGGGTCGGCAGGTTTGAAGGTGCCTACGGAGGTGGATGGTGACAGGTGTGGATCTGAACCACTGGGCAAGAGTGAGCCTTCAAATGATGTATCTGATGGAACAGGCTCGACCAATGCCGGTCCAGGAGGGGCCAAGTAGATTGGTTGCTTGGTTGGTTTGTTGTTTAACGCTGCACTCAGCAATATTCCAGCTATATGATGGCGGTCTGTAAATAATCGAGTCTGGACCAGACAATCCAGTGATTAATATCATGAGCATTGATCAACGCAATTGGGATTGATGACATGCATCAACCAAGTCAGCGAGCCTGACCATCCGATCCCATTAGTCGCCCCTTACTATAAGCAAAATCGTCCTTTACGGCAAGCATGGGTTGCTGAAGACCTATTCTACCCAAGATCTTCACGGGTCGGGGCCGAGTGGAAGGTGACCAGAGCTCCAAACCTGAAGTCTGTAGGATTGATGACCGGAACATGGAGACCGCCTGAATGAAGGAATCAAAGGAAGTTTCCCCACCCTGCGGCTAATCATGTTGATCCCAAATTGTAAGTAATATCGGAGCCCAAGACTGTGAATGGATCGAACCGAGAAGAATCTGGGAGGATTATTACTGTAAGGTCGAACAGTGTGCAGATATGAAGAGGGTGAACGATCGTGTTCTGTGGTAGATCGATAATCTACAAAACCTGATCGGTATGTGTATCCGTATCTCAGGTTGTACACTGCGTCAGTGTCATAACGTGGATGCTCCCACTGGCAGTTGGTAATGGTAATCAATGACGGGACCGATCTCTGTAGTAGGAAGGGCATTTCGATTGGGGAACGAGCTGAAAAGGTGTCACCCGAAGTCGAACTACACCTTGATTCATGCAAGTATTCCCACGATCCCCGTCGCTTCTTGGGAGCATCAAACATTGGAGTTGTGTGTACAATCGTGCCCCAAAGGACTTTGAGAGCTCCGGGTTGATCCTGAATTTCGATTAGGGGTGTAACAATACATCGGACTATTGATGTATTGCAATAGTGAGTGCCCCAATATCAATTTATCGATTGGATCATGTTTTGCAATCGATAGTATCAATTTAAGTGTCAAATATCGATAGTTTCAAACGCGAACGTACTTGTTTTATTTTGTAGCACTTTAGTGTTGTCTTTATGAAAAGTTGAAAACGTATTCTGATTGAATAGGGCACAGTACAGTGATCCCTCGCAACAACGCTACCTTCAGGGTCCAAATAATTGATGAGCGTTACAGACGATCAGCGGTTAATGATGGTCGAGTCGTAGGTGGTAGATGACCAACAAAACAGTATACATGCTCTGCCTACCTAACACGATCTACGTTGCACGTTTAAAAAAAACCCATTAAAATATAAAGTTAATTATGATTCATAGTGTAAAAGAAAGATTTATCGAGTATTAATATACACTTTAAAACAACAACACATTGTATCCCTTCAGCGAATTCAGGTGAATATAAACAGGTATTAACGAACTTGATCAATAAAAGTATGAAGTTTGAAATAAAACATCGCTAGACATGATTTACCATTTAAAATGTATTTCCTGCTCTCCAAGGCATTGTTTTATATGCAGAGATTAAGATTATCGTGTGTATTTTCTCATAAACTAAGCAGGAAATAGCAAATCAGCTGTGTACACATTTCCTTCCAATCTACCGGTAATTCAGTTTAAAGGTACCCAATGATACAACTTCAAAGAATTTTGACGCAATGGTCGGAAGAAATTGTGTCTGAAATTATTATTTTATCAGGAATAATACATTCCAATCGTGTTATTTTAGTTGCAGCTTCCACTATATATACTTAAAATTATAAGAACCATAAGCGAAGCACTTTGGTACAGGTTGTATGCAGGATATTTTTTACGTATGAAACAATTTGACCAGTCACTGTGAGGGCTTCCCGCGCTAGATGTATTTCAATTGCGAAAACTTTTTGACATTTAATAGTCAAATATGACTTTAAGCGTGTCATGGTACGGCATTTATGATATGTGTATCCATTCTCTTGCAACTAAAGTTTGTTTCAACGTGTCAATAGCGGTAATCTGACCGTGGTTGCTGTAATTAACGGTGAGCTACCTATCACTTCGCATACGATTTCGCTGAAATTATTGCAAACATTATTATAATTATTGGATGAAATTTTGAATATAATTAATCAAATATATTGCAAACATTAGTCTAGATAAACAATGAACAAGTTTTTTATAAACAGACATTATTATAATAGGATTAAATTGCGTACTTCAGTTCAAATTTGTTGACTGGTATTTCTGGTGTTATGTGATCGCAGTGATCAGCTTATAATGTTCTCTGCGATGGGGGAAAACATTGTGTCATTGGAAAATTGATATAGTGCTAACCAGTGCTAACATTGTTTTTTAAGTTAAATCAAAGCAGTGAAAAAAGATCTAATTCTACCATGAGAGAGTTTTGTTTCACATTTTGGTATGGTTGGTATTGTTTACTGTTTGAAAATAAAACAAAACATAGTCAAGTTTCAAATGTTTTATTGTTTGTTAAAATGTTTTATCTTAAAAGGATGAAGTAATGTTTGACAATAGTTATTGCAATAGTATTGCAATAACATCTCTCAATATCTATAGTTATTGCAATAGGTGTTTGCAATAGTTGTTGATATCGCAATTGTCTTTTTGGCTCAATAGTCACCCCTTAGAACGAGAGAGCCAATCTCGATCCTTAGACCCTGATCATCGATCCCATGTGACTTCCTTCTGATGATAGACGATCCTGATGAGTAGCCTTGGAAGGAGAGGTCATATTGTCGTTTCTCCCACGATCGTGCGAACATGACGATTCTAAGATCGGGATCTTGAACAGAGGAGCACTTGGAGCGTTCACTGAACTTGAAGACGGGGTTGAGTGACACGGACCGACTGTCAGCTTGAAGAGCTGATGAGCTGTGAGATCGGGAAAGGAAACATCATCCTTTAAAGAACTGTCTGATACAGTGTCATCAGTAATCGAGAGTACGGGCTCTTCAGAATGAATGGACGTCATGACTTTTGTTTTCTTAAGACGCTGATTTGCTGGAATCAATGGACGAAGATCTGCAGTCTAGCATTCGTCTGCAGCATCTCTGGACGTAGAAATCAGTCTGCTAAGGAATGATATTCTTCTCATCTAGATGCCAAACTACACTGGCCACAACAATCCCAGCACAATGTTGTGCAGGTCAGATGTTGAATGTGTGCGTCAGCATTTAACACAAGCCAGGCATAGTTTGTCCTTCTTTCCCACGTTGTAGACCATTTTAAACCGCAAAAGGTGTCACACAAAACAAAATGTATTCTCAAGGTACAAGCAATATGTCTACACGAGCACGTAGTTGACCAAGTTGTTGGTCATACCTTAGATATGCTGGACGCTTGTTTTTGTTTTAGAAGCTGGAAACAGGGTTCAAGCACGTTTCCACATAGGATCGAAGAAGAAAGAAGATATGCATAATGTGAGACAGGATAGGTTTAAAAATTGTATGTTACAAGGTCTAAGACATCAGATAGATCTGTTAATAAATTGTTCTCTTATTTTGTTGCTGATGAAGGTAACTTGATATTATTATAAAATTCGTGAAACTTAAATGTACCCTTTCATTGAGAAAGAGCGAGAAGATAGTTTACAGCATAGAGCATGCAAAGCTCTTTCGACTGCAAATTTCAGTGTCGGTGTTACTTAGGGTCATATGGTAACATACCTTTCAAGTAATCGTCACAACAAAGCAACCCCCATTTGAAGGGCTGTAGGGCACTTTCCCTAGGATTGATATCCTAAGAAATGGGTACTTTGGCTTTGTACAGCCAAGGCGTAAATAACAAATTTGTCAAATTGGCCGAAATGTTGGCCCACCATCCATGCACTGATGTGGACTGCTTGTAATTGTTTTGCTATTTTCTCACACACAAGGCTTAGGATTGTAAAACTTTGACAATCTCCTAATGTTACTGATCAAAGTACTTATATTTTCTTCAGTATAGTGCGCAACCCCCCCCCAGTCATTTTTGGACAAAATGTAATGAAATTTGGTATTTGTTTTGATGATGTATGAATCAACATCTAAGTTCTGGGTTTTCTTTCATTTTTTAAAATCTTGACTTGTGTTTTCACAATCTTCATATTTCTCTAAACATGCTAAATGCATAATTTGTCTCAGTGAACTTTCTCAGAAATTGTCAGAATGAGGGAGCTGAACTTCGAGGCATATATGTTTCTCTTCATGATCACATATATTATATTTTTTTTAATTCAATAAATTTTTGAGTCCCCATTATTTATGCAGAAAAAAACTGTCACTAAAGCACAGTACAGTGAAAAAGGATTTATAAGTTTCTCAAGCAAGATCATTGTACGAGGCACTCAACAATGCATGGTTATCATGAACGACAACATACCCGAAAACTCGAAGTATTCTTTGACGTCTCTGATAATTTTTCCAAAAGTAATATGCAGCAGCCACTAAGATAAAAGCCCCAAAGATGCCGAAGATGACGCCCAATGTGATGTCAACTGTTGACATCTGTGCTAGTCCTTTTTCCTGCAGGACTACTGGGGTGCTGTACACCTCCCTGTCTGCCTCTGCCGCCTCAACAAACATAGACTGATTCATGTCTCGCTCAAAACACGAGGACTCTGTAACAAAACACCACCGATTAACTTTACAATTAGCTACATTAAACTGTATCGAAACTTTGTGTCAAGAGGTTTAGTTGTAATATGGAGACGAAAGAAAAATGTGTAGAGTACTTCCGCTAAAACAACATATAGTGTTTTCCTAAGAACAACAGATACTTTTTGTGTTTATTCTGTTGACAGGCATTAAGGAAGTTCAAAGGAAGAAAGTGCGGAGGAAATGTCAACAAACTTTATGACGGGTGACAAAACAAAGGCTGTCAATCTAAAAAGTGGTGTGATGAAGCCTATCCATGAGCACTGGCACGTGTCGGCCTTTGACAGTCGCAAAGAACAATGACACTGTGTTGCATTGGTGGCGTCTGTATGGACTTGCAGGTGTGATCAGTGATGGCATTAGTGAGTAGATCTCTTGTCTTGACCCTAGCAGTGACAATTCACATGATGTAATTTGTGTTTGAATGACATTGTTTATATACTTGTTACAAGTGCTGCTCAATAAACAGTGGAATACATAGTGGTTGGTTTCGATGTATGTCTAAGTTGATATTTCTGCTATCCAAAATGTCTTATTGTTGATATAAATGTGATGTTTAATAATGTGAGCAAAGAATACACGCATTTTTTGCATTTAATTCACGCTCGCATTAATTTCAAGATTTACAGTATATGTCGAAAATTGAAACGGCGATCCTTTCCAACCTGGGATAAGAATAAAGTATGTCAGGCTACATCTGTTGAAACTGAAGTTGGGTTCCTGTGACGTTTTTTATCAGTTGCAGGAAGGTTCCTGTGATCCACTCCTCATAAGCTGACAGTTGTATGATTGATGCCACACCACTCCCATGCCCTGCAAAAAAAATAACTCAGCAACCTTTGGAGATAACCACTGGAGGTGAACTGCCCTGGAACTGGATTCATTGTATTCACATAGGAACGGGACTCACCGTTCCCACCCACCCCCACTGTGGCCATAACGAGTTATGTCACTTCTATGTCCCTCCTACTGACCAATCAGATTCCACCTCTCATATCACTTGCACTTGTTTCAAACAAAATGGCTGGGCCCAATGAAGAAGATCTGATTGATAATTAAGATCTATATTATTATAAAAAGGATCTTAATTCACGAAGTGCATCAAATCAGGTGAGCACCTTAATTAAAAACATGAAAAGTTTGGAAAATATCTGTTGACACAAAGTTGACGATACACATGCAGGGTTAGAAACTAACAGTTTTTTTCCACTAGTCCTTATAATGATAACATATAGCAAAACCCTTAAAATTGGCCAATTTCTACTAGTCCTTAGGAAACCCTTACCATTGGGCAGTTTGGTAAGTTTACAGGACCAGTGCCAATTTCTAACACTGACATGCTTTGCAAATCCTGCAATCGACTGAAGTCTTCAGTGCAGTTGTTGATTTCATGATGTGATTTTGATTGGACTATGCATACAGAGCTCCAGATAAGCTTTTAGTGTTGTGGGTATTTTACCCATGCAATTTAAAATCATTGGGTATCAGTAATTCTATCTGGGTATTCCAATTTCTGTTACCCACTAGTTTTTACACATGTGGGTATTTAAGTTAAATATTTAAAAACACTATTCATCTAGTCCCTGCAAAATGGTGTCGTGTGGGTTCGAGAGCTTTATAGCACTCAAAAATACCACGATACTTCCACAAGAAAGGGTGATGGCAAATGATTATGATGTAACTGTCATCGTGGAGTTTGGCAAGGTTGACGGAATGCCCGTTTATAATTTCAAAATAAGTTGCTGAAGAGCAAATCCAATACGCAGGGTTACTTCACAATATTTTGATGATACGCACAAGTTTTATTTTTGTAGCGTATCTGTAATGTTCTTTGCGTATTTGATACGCTTGGATTTTTTATTTTACTGCACATTTCTGCATTTCTGATGCGTATTTTACGCAGATACGCAGCTTATCTAGAGCTCTGTGAATATACTCTTTAGTCCAGCCAAAATGTAACTCCATAATTGCAGCCTACTTCGGCAAGGGTGGAAATTGGACTTTTATAGTCAGTTAACTGTCTTGCCTCGAGATGCTCATTAACAAAATTCACCAGACCCCCACAACAGGATTATCCCTGGACAGGCTCACCAGATTATTTCAATGCACAACCTTATAAAGCATAGGCTAGTGCGTATATGCAATGTAATAAAACATAAATACAATTGTATGTGCGTCTTGAGTCTCTTAACAATCTCTTGTACGATAGAATTGTATATATTTGTACAAATATGTACGCTATGATTAAGGTCTTAGGAGCATGACATATAGATGCAATTTAGAGTATTGTGTTTGAATTCAATAAGTATGTTTGGGTCTTTTGTCATCAATAGGCTAAGTCATTGTCTTGGAAATATCTGACCATGATAATCGGTTTAGCTCAAGTCAATTCCAAATTATATTTCAAAGCAGCAAATTATTTTTTTCAAATTTCATTTAGTGGAAGAACATAATGAATTCATAAATTGAAAATCAGTACAAGTTTGAGTAAGGACAATGTGTTTCTATATTCTGTACCCTATCGCCCACGGCAGAAAAGAACTACAAGTAGAAATAATCCATTCTAACCTTTTGTAATAAGATTTGTGGTTGTGAAATCATGACAAGAATAAATATACTAACTCGGTTACTGTAGAGTTAGGGTAGAAGTGGAGAAAAGTGAGCCTGATCATTACGGAGCATTTACTATTTTGTGCCATAATACATAAAAGTCTAAAATACTGGTTCGACATAAATATTTTAAAATCTCAAATGTACCCGTGGAGCCTCATCTGACAGCCGCAGCCACCTGTTCTTGCGCCATCTTCGTTTACAGAGCACAATAGAGCACTTGACGATCACTCATTCCAAATACAACGCTAGTCAAATGGTAGACTGGTTTGTGAGAAGATCGAGGCCGAACTTACTAAGCTCCTCACAGCGATATCCCGTTCACCAAGCTCTCTTACCAAGCTCCCCCCAGCGCCTCACACCTTCGTTTACACTCTCTGTAACATCACTGCCATCAGTGTGACAGCCTGGTTCCCTGAGTATGCTGCGCTGGCGCTAAACTGACCCAGGCAATGACTGCACAATGGTGGCCCCACCAGACGAACAAACACGGCGGGACACGACATTTATCTACTGTAGAAAAACGCTAGAACGGGTGGTTATATTTTTTTCTTAGCATTTTCATGAATGCTCTTGCGGTAGGGTAGAAAAAATGGCGGCCTACTTTCCTCTCGCTTCGACCGTAAATAACGAAGTGCACATGCGTGGAACGTTTTTATTCGACAACTTCCGTAAATACGTAAAAACGTTCGTTCCGAAGTTGGGACCCAAATACTGCAGTCTACCCGCTCTTGCAATGTATACGTCACGAGTATAACGTCCATTGTTACTTTTAGCAAAGACGTATATAGAAAGGATAATTTAAGCAGCCTTCTCTTATTGTCTGCTCTGATGTGAGACGCGCTAATTGTCACAGCAGGGGGTCATCGGCCGGCCGTATGCGCGCAAGGCATCTTGTTTGTAAACATAACGGTCATTCGATTGCGAGTTCAACTCCAAGTATAGTTGGGGCCGCCTATCACTTTTGGGAGTTTTGACCGGTGGCAGCACACTGCGGTGGCAGCATAGTATAGAGAGCTCCGCAAACGGGCTATCGCCGTGAGGAGCTTGTATCGCTGCCACCAGTCAAAACTCCCCACTGTGATAGGTGGCCCCAACCATGCTTGGAGTTGAATTCGCAACCGAATGACCGTTTTGTTTACAAACAAGTGACGACTGTCGTGACGCCGAATACACTTACCGCTGATAAATTACTTTCTTTGTTTGTCAATTTGAATTTCTATTTCATTAAAACTATCATCTTTAATTGATATAGTAAGAATGTAAGGGAGAAGTTGGTTCATGTTACGTTAGTCTGCAATCTCGAACCAATCTGATTATTAAAACAACAAAGCAAATTCATCTGGAAAACATGGTCAGTCGTAAACCTTTTCAAAACGAAATATGATGGCATTCCCAAAGACTTAAACAAAAGTATAAACGTTACTACATATGGGGTAAGAGGGCAAATTTCAAGATTCTTGTAATGGCCGCGCTCAAACTGGTGGCAGCGATGTTGCCGAGTGTAACGAAGGTGTCACGCGCTGGGAAGGAGCTTGTAAGAGTATAGACAAAGGGAAGTAACTGTACCCCCATCATCAAAATATATTTTGTCATAACAAAATACAACTTTAATCTAACTTGTGGTGTAACAAAAAGCACATTGCAAATTCATATCTATAAGGAAAGGACCACACAAGATACGTAAAATCAGGGAAATTTTAATGTGCGCCTGAGCACAAAGACACACAATAACTTGAAACCTTGATCAACATGCGGTGATGATCGTACAAGTAGCAAGTGAATAGTTAAATCCCCCAGTCACAGTACTAAGTGAATAATTTTATAATTGATTTACGATGGTGAGTAAACAATGAATAAGTAGGAACATGACATTGACAAGGAATGTGAATGAAAAGTCTAACTTCTTGGGAGTAATTTCCCAAAAGTTGTCAATACATCCAGTTTTGTAGTATGTCTAATGTTCAAATAAAGTAGATAGGCATTACTTTTCCAGAAGCCTGTTTTTTTAATGATCTCCCCAGGAAGTCCAATCTCAAAGGCCCAGCATGCTCCACCCCTGCGGAAAGAGTGGCCAGTCACAACTTGTTGGTTGCCAGAACGCCTGAGTGCAAGGTGTACTATGGACACAAATCTGTCATAATCAAGGGCTTGGTAGTTATTGTCACATAGAAAAGGTTGAGCTCCATCTCTATCTGCCTGATATTCGAGCACAGACTGGATAGCATGACCTGGATCCAGTGGGTGGCCAGGAATGTTAGGCAGAATTATATCCAAACTTTTCTCACGAAATTGTAACGTTTTAGTGTGCCTCAGCTTGACACCCTCTACTGCACTTACATCTAGAATCCGAATACGCTTCTCTGCCACAAACGCACCTTTTCTTTACACAAACAAATGCCTGCCCTCAACATACCAAAGAAACCTAACACACAGGCCGCCCACACACAGGCACCAAAAGGACAACCTAAATCCAAGTTGTCATGTGTTGCTAACAGCATTGTTGGCGTAACAGGGTTTGCAACCGTCTGAGCATCGCCTATTTCCCGTTTTGCACCACGAAGAACATGATTAACTTGCCAATTATCTTTGATGGGATCTGGATGTCCTCCTTCCCTATGGGCATTTGAAATGATACTCAATTACTGACGTATGGTGGCAAATTTGATTTTTTTTCACATCACGCAAGTTCACAATATAGAGCAATGCGTCCTGTTGTGTCACTGGTACTGTATCAATAGCGATCAGATCACAAAAGTCAGTGTAACACTCGATTTGACTGCGTTGACCTGGTCGACTCTGCCCACCCTTGCATCTTGAGTCTCTGTACCAAGCATCTTAGCCTCCTCTGTAACTCGCCATACTCGTCCCCATCCGATGTTAATAAAATCACAACTCGTGTGTAGACAGATTTTCACATAAAAAAGGTAACAACTGGAGGCTAGGCAACAATGGTAAAACATTTGACACACATTTCCTTTCTCATGAATTCTTGAAATGGAATCGGCAATGAGGTTTTGATGTCCAGGAATATATTCAGCTCATAGAACAAAGTAATATGACGCCTGTAACCAGAATATGTATCTCAAATACTTCATTAAAAAGGTGGACTTGGAGGTCTGCTTATTGGCAATTGATCTGGCAGTTATGTTATCAGTCTTAACAATAACCACTTAATCAACGAAGTGGTGACACCATCTCATAACTGCTAATATAATTATCAAGGCTTCTTTACAGTTAATGTGCTGATCACAAACATATGGCATATCTGTAGCCCAATTGACATACATAAAGTCTCCCTCATAATAAGCACCTCCACCCTTTAGACATGCACCAGTATGTAAAGTCCTAACAGGTCTAGAGTCAAGAAAATGTGTGGTGCCATTGAAAGTCTATAGGAAAGATAGCTACCAATTCACATCTTCATGGAAGTCAGCGTTCAATTGCAATTTATCTTCCTGGGACTGCAGAGTATTCTTTAGATCAATAATTCTTCTAAAAAATGTTCTTCCTCTTTTTATAACCATGCTTTCCCAATTGAGCTTTCAAATTAAACTTTCCAACTGCTTTTTTGTTGAGCGTTTCCTATAATGGAATTCCAACAGCACTTATATAACATCTGTCACTTTGTTAAGTGGTGAGCTGGGCTAGCGAGCGAGATGCCTGTTCCCGAGCGAATAAGCGTTTACCGCGCACTCTGACCAAGGGGAGTAACTCTCGTTATATTAAAGAGTAAGCTATCAAGCTCCTCGCAGAGATAGCCCGTTCGCGGTGCTCTCTACCGAGAGTGTAACGAAGGTGTCACGCGCTAGGAAGGAGCTTGGTAAGCTATGGACAAAGGGAAGTAACTCTACCCCATCATCAAAATACCCGATGACGTTATTTGTGGAATTTTGTTGCAAGATCCATCGGCAAAACAATGCCATGTGACGTCAGCCGAGCAACAAGGTTGCTGGGGTCATCGAATGTGCATAAGCTCCTCTCAGTGATCTATCATTGTTCGTGAAATATGTTCCGACAGTACATACGCACGCGTTTTAGTTACGTAATGGATGGTTCACGTGTACCAAGAACATGTAAGTAAAACAGTTCAGGGGGGTCTCAATTACCGAAAAGTTGAACCGAAACGTGTTGTGCAGCATAGTGGCACTTCTAACCCTCGTGATGTTGTTAACCTCTTTGAAACGTACTTTAAATACATTCCTAAAACGGGCCCTCTCTACCGTCGACCTCTTTCAGGGGACAACGAGACGCCGAAATATTCTCAACAACCGATCGGTGTGAACGCGTTGGCTAAGTATTTGCCTACTATGATAAGTAAAGCGGGCATTGAGACAGGGAACAGAAAGGTAACGAATCACTCCGCCAGAGTGTACTGCTGTTCATCAATGTATCAGCAGGGATTTGAGGAGCAGCAAGTCATGGCCAGAAGCGGTCATCGCAGCAACGTAGTGAGAGATTATAAGAGACCCTCCAAAGGCAACTGCAGGATATTTCTTATGCTTTGCAACCCCCAAAGTGTACGAAGTCGTGCCCCTCCCCAACAACTTCACAGACCGACGTCAACAGTGAGAAAGAAAACAAACCAGACGCTTTGCAGGACAAAAGTGACAATATTTTAATTATCAAAGTTCCTACTTCTGTAAATATCATTGTCATTGAAAAAGACGGTAAAAAAATTCAGCTGTCACTGTAAAGTTACTGAAATAAAACATTGTTTTAATTTGTAGCGTGGTTTCTTGTTAATTTATTAATTGGATATTTACAATTGTAGCGTGAGTTGTGTATTTCTTTAACCACGTGTTTTGCCTTCACCAAAACACGTGGTAACTCGTGAGTATAAACAAACTACGTCAGAGTGATTCAGCCAATCAGACGGTTAGTTTCCCCACCAATACCAATCACGTGGTTTGCCGTGAACCAAGTCACACCATGGGATTTGGTGTTGGCGAAAACTAGCCATCTGATTGGCTGAAACACTTTGTGCATGCGCTAAAGTTGTATGTTTATTAATTATTGTTTAGAAATTACCAAATATGTACAACAATGATTACTACCGTATGACATCACTGACGGTGACCGTCTTCTACAAAATGGCGTGTTCACTGACAACAGAGGAGGGTTTTCTTTGATTGAGGGTTAGAACATACATAAATGTGTCATGTAAGTAATCAGAAACAATTCGACAATCTGCCTACTGTTATTTGTTTTTATGTTTTTGTAATACCTGTAATTGAAACACAGTAGTTTTAAACTAGCTAGTGTATAATATTATGATAGGCCAACAGATGTCCGGTTTTGTTATGTGATTAGTAGCAGGTAGGCGCAATCACGTGCTGTTATATAACATGCGACAGTCTTGAATAAACGACCGGTCAAGTGGCAGAATCGTCTCCCTACAAATCGTATGTCGTTCCTCCCTGAGAACCCAGCATTTTGGCGACGAGGATGGGATCCAAGGTAGCTATGAAGTATATGGAAAGGAATTATGGTATGGTTATCTGGCTGTTTGATGGTATTTTGACGGTGTGTTCGTTGCGACGAGTCTGTTAGCCCAGAGCACGTGGTCTGATGACCTATGTTTTCACCCGTCAGTGTGAAGTAGGAGAAGCGGTATAGATGAACATTGACTTTTGTTTCGCTCTTCTTGAAATGTTATAACCGTCACCATCTTCAGCTCAGAGATTGGCCACCACGGGTTTGGTCTGTGGATTGTTTGAATTTAGGTTAATCCAAAGAAGTCGACATGGGATGAATGGTGTGAGATATTGACACGTTTTCGTGGCAAACGGAATTACAGACGAAGACAAGCAGAAAAGCATACTGTTAGCGTCATGTTGAACTGATACTTACCAGTTGATATGAGCATTGGTTCAGCCCCTGAACCCTAGTGCGAAAACGTTTGACAAGCTGGTGGTTTTATTGAAAGAACATTTCATGCCGAAACAATCAGTAATTGTTCAGAGATTTAAATTCCATTCACGGAATAGGAAGGCTGGTGAAAGTGTAGCTGCTTATGTCGCGGAATTGAGAAAGTTGACTGACTGGTGTGATTTTGGAACGTCTTTACAGGCCATGTTCAGAGACAGGTTAGTGTGTGGTATTTGTGATGACAATATTCAGAAAAAAAGTTATTGTCAGAGACTGCTCTGACATTAAGTGGTGTATTGAGGCGGCAGGCAAGAATCTACAGGATCTTCACGATGATAAAACTTTGGGACATTAGGTACACAAGTTTCACAGCAAGCAATCGGCACATTGTACCAGAGACCACAGGCCTCATGTTGGACCTGGAAATAACAAACCTTGTTCTAAACTCACACGCGAAAGAAACGCAAGTGGTTTTAAGCAAATAGGTAACAAACACGGAACCATAAATTGATACGAGTTTTAGCATGTAGTGAAGCCTGATGGTGTTATCAATAATTTTGGTTGCATTTTGGAAGCCCCGAGTAAAAACGCAACATAAAAAACGAATCGCCAAAACGCACCATTTCAATGAATATGTGGGTATCATGCACCTATTTCTCGCGAAATCGAAAATGCACGAACTGTCACAAACTGTATTGGGTATAAAACTGTGGCCGATTCTTGGACCTACCACTCCTTGGTCAACAATGCCACACCTAACCCAAATTCAGAGAAACCAGGCTATCGGACGTATGGAAGCTGGAGAGTCTGTCCAAGTTGTTGCCGTCATTTCAACGTTAACATAACCACAATTTACCGTCTCCTGCATCGATACAATGCTACACGGACCACAGATGACCTTCCTCGGAGCGGTCGTCCTAGGGTCACCACACCTCGAAAAGATCGGCAGATTACCCGTCAACACCAGTGACATCCGTTCCTAACTGCAAGTGTGGCGGTCGGGTAGCCTAGTGGTTAAAGCGTTCGCTCGTCACGCAGAAGACCCGGGTTCGATTCCCGACATGGGTACAATATGTGAAGCCCATTTCTGGTGTCCCCCGCCGTGATATTGCTGGAATATTGCTAAAAGCGGCGTAAAACCATACTCACTCACTCACTCACTCCTAACTGCAAGTGAAAGTGCTCGACAGACCATAGGAACACATAGTCGACACATTACACTCTAAAAATTATTGTTTATATATTAAACACAAAATTAAACGCTTATTTGTCTCATCTTTTTAAACACTGTTTTGTGTTTATTATCTAAACACTGTTTATGTTATAAACAAGTGTTTACGAAGTAAACAATAGTTTAGTTTCTAAACGGTACTGGTGTTTACAATATAATCACCTAACGCTGTTTAACCAATGTCTCACCCTTTTAAACGCAAAAACGTGTTTACATTGCTACTTGTGTTTAGAAATTAAACATCTGGCGATTAAACACAAGTAAACAAGTACTGTCCAAGAATATGTAAATGTGTGAACATTTGATGTCCGTGTAATGCACAGACAGAGAGAGAGAGAGAGATCCTTGGACATTTAGAAACATTGTGGGCATTATCTATCTGTATAATATAATCAGACTAAAGACTGACAACACAAAGAAGATGTTTAGTAAGTAATGAGATTTATTCTTGACAGCATGTTTATATCATCTTTTGTAATATGACATACCTGGATGACACAAGCTCCTCTATTCACAACGAAAGATAATTGTATCATTATTGTGACAACAGAAATTGTGTTTTGCATGGTTATACTTTAACTCTGAATAGCCGAACTATTAAAACACACAATGTTGAACAATCAATATAACACTGAACGCTGTCAGTAAATCTAAGTCTGATGTCCAATGACACTGAATGCAAGGCCACAAATTAGTCAGAATGTGAGCAAACTGCACACACATTTTGGATTTCTGTTCAGTGAACACTTCACCCAAAATCAATGACTGTAAGAGGCCAAGAACCTTAATGTTATTCATTGGAATAGTACCATTATTGTGACAATAGGAATTGTGTTTTGCATAATTATACTTTAACTCTGAATAGCAAAACTATGTTAAACAAACAATATAACACTGAACGCTGTCAGTAAATCTAAGTCTGATGTCCCATGACACTGAATGCAATGGGCTTTAGAACTTCTGTTCTACAGGCCACAAATTAGTCAAAATGTAAGCAAACTGCACACACGTTTTGGATTTCTGTTCAGTGAACACTTCACCCAAAATCAATGACTGTAAGAGGCCAAGAACCTTAATGTTATTCATTGGAATAGTACCATTATTGTGACAATAGGAATTGTGTTTTGCATAATTATACTTTAACTCTGAATAGCAAAACTATGTTAAACAAACAATATAACACTGAACGCTGTCAGTAAATCTAAGTCTGATGTCCCATGACACTGAATGCAATGGGCTTTAGAACTTCTGTTCTACAGGCCACAAATTAGTCAAAATGTAAGCAAACTGCACACACGTTTTGGATTTCTGTTCAGTGAACACTTCACCCAAAATCAATGACTGTAAGAGGCCAAGAACCTTAATGTTATTCATTGGAATAGTACCATTATTGTGACAATAGGAATTGTGTTTTGCATAATTATACTTTAACTCTGAATAGCAAAACTATGTTAAACAAACAATATAACACTGAACGCTGTCAGTAAATCTAAGTCTGATGTCCCATGACACTGAATGCAATGGGCTTTAGAACTTCTGTTCTACAGGCCACAAATTAGTCAAAATGTGAGCAAACTGCAGATACTTTTTGGATTTCTGTTCAGTGAACACTTCACCCAAAACCAATTGCTGTAAGAGGCCAAGAAAAATCTGAGAATACTGTCTTGGATAGGATATCCAAGCAATATAGTACACTGCCAACAGGTGGAGCACTGACTTTCTGAATGTTGGACAAGAAGAGAGGTTTACATTATCAGCTTTGACAATGGCATGAGTAATTGCATCATCATTCACAAACACCATCAGACTTGGTGAATGTTCGTTAGACACTTTCTGTACAGCCTTGTCTACTTCGTCAGGTGAAAAATCCTGAAATAATCAAATAAACAATGTAAGACCCCAGTGAGACCGAATTGTATAGCATTAATTTTTTTAAAATGTATAAAATACTACGAGAGCAATGCTTCTCATTAATATGACGTTAAATATGACGGACACGGGTGGCCCAGTCGTCTCAAATTCGTCGTGCAGAGGTGCGTCCCTTGGCACACCAGAAACCTGTGATTGTGAGTTTGAATCCCAGTCCGCCCCGATTATGTTTCTACGTTTATCAGTATCGTGGGTCTCGTGGGTTTCCTCCTCCCAAATTTAGCTGACACGCCGCTATATAACTGGAATACTGTTCGAAGTGGCATTAAACCCAAATCACTCACTTAAATATGATTTGAAGGGTCACATACTGGACAATAGATGAAGTTTCTTACTTCGTGACTTCCGCGGTAGACTGTTAATATTGAAGCGGTTTTTCTACCCTTTCCTCTGTCATAGGCACTTTCCTTTTCCATGCACAGGAAGGATGAAATATCTGCCTCAAGTCCCTGTGAAAGGAGAACATATTAGTGTTCTCATTTAGATATTTCAACAACAAGACCACAAGCGTCATCACATGATAATAATCACTGCTAAGTTGTTCCATTAAATATCAGAAAGAAAGTATAACTAGAATGTGGCAATTCGAAAACATCATAGAGTTTTTGTTTTTGGAGATGCTGAGATATGAATTTTATTGGTACATGTAGGTCATCATCTTCCCGATGCAAGAGAGTTAACTGACTTTAAAAGTCCAGTTTCCTCCCTGAAGATGGTAGGTCATTAACTTTTTGAATATTACACTTCACTCTTTTGACATACCTCCTTTCCATCTCCCTTCTGTAGCGACCTGGTGATGTCAAACAAACAGTCAATGTTCTTCTGGGCACTGGTCCAGAGATCCTTGCCTTTAATGAGCTTCAGTTCAGCAAAGACCTGAAAAAGACTTTATTGCCTTTACCGTTAACAATACCGTGAACTGAACAGTCTTAACATATTTCTGTATTATTTTCAATCATACCTACTAATCAAAGACTTACAAATTTTAGGATGGTAACAGTACAGCCATTTCACACACTGTATAGAGTCTTTTCTTGTGTTACTTTCAAAGGGGTTTTTTCACTTTAAAACATGAAGCCTATTTCTTTTAACATTGAAATAGACAAACTTACAAAGATGGGATTGGTGAAACATGGATAACGGTCAGTTATTTGTTTGACACTTCCACTCTCCCGCTGGGCTTCTATCAACTCTCGTCTGTTGACGTAAGTTTCCTTTAATAGAATGTTAATATCTTTTGCCACCCTGAGAAGCCTCTCATCTTTGAGGTGTTTCTGTTCGATGTCTTCACTGAGTTTCCCAAGCTTTAGTAAATGCTGTTCCAGTTCCTCTTCTGGTATTTTTCGAAGCTTACTGCTCGGAGACCTAGTATCCTGTGCCAGACACAACGACTTTGCTGGTGATGGGTTAAAATCCCCAATGGTTTCATAGTTTGGCAAAAGGGATTTCCTATTTTCAGACCATCTGACATGGCGTATTCTACTTGAAAGGTCCTTTGCAAATGCTGACTGAAAACATAAAGTGTATAATGCATAAAACCACTTGTCAGTGTTGGTTGTCCCTGTAACAAAAAGTCTGTTTAGAAAGTAAATAAAATTATCATTCTTTTTTTCTTTTTCTTTTTTTTGGGTGGGGTGGGGTATTTAAGTATATGAACATACTTACCCATGGACGCGGTCCATTACGGCGAATCAAAGGGTATTGTCCATACATACTTCCACCAATAGTTTGATATTCGGATTGGTTAATCTTTCCGATATTTGGATATTGTACCAAATAGTAATAAGCTGCTTCACGAATACACTGGCTCCAAACAAGATGCGACTCCTTGTTGATAAGCTTCATCTGGATGTAGTCGCTAAACTTGGGTAAAGGTGTCCTTGGTGTGATACGGGTATTGGAAGATGGTGACAATGTCGGTACTTGAAGCACTGGAACATCTAAATCTAGGATTAGAAAGTGTTACATACGACATGAATATTGATAACTTCTTCAAACTTGTGAATAGAACAGCTGTCATGGATACAGTTCCTTAACACGCAGTAAATATCTGGGTTCAAACGCAGATAAGACTGAATAGAATAAACTTTGAAAATTTAAAAGTTGCCAAAATCAGGGAGACAATGATACTATTGTCAGGTAATTATTGCATGATTCCAATTTCAACACATTATATATTTTTTCAAAGAGTGATAAGACACGTTTGTAGTTGAAAACTCACCATTTTTGTGCTGGTCAATGTAAACCGAAATTTGCAATATCTCCTTACATACTTTACCTTTGAGTGAGGGATTTTCAGCGCAATCGTCTGTTGAACCTGCACAGGAAGGCACGACATCTTCCTTACGCCACTCTTCTGCTGCATAATGAGTAACAGAGTTACAGATAGTTTCATTGTCACACATGTAATATTTTCTAAAAATATATATTTGGTAACTGACATTATCTGCACTTGTAGTCTATACAATGACCAGTTACTGCTATAAGTGTCAAATTATTGACTCATAACAGCCTGCATTTTTAAATGAATGTACATTAGGAAGGTTCTATGCAAATCATTCGACAATTAAACTGTTGGGATAAGCCCTGTACACAAGGAACAGGATCCCTATGATTTTGAGGAATGTACTTCCCCATTAACCTTTTGTTTACCTTCACCCAGAATCATTATCTTGTCCTTCAGAGAAAGCACTGCAAGAACCTCTTCATCCTTGATCTCAGCTCCATTTTCTTCAAGAGCCAACTTTTTTGCTTTGCATCCTAATTTGTCGCCTGATACAAAAAGAAATTGATGAATAAACTTTATTCCATTTTGATTCAGTGGACAAATTGAAATTATATATACCTACTTTACTGTATGAATATACTTTGGCACAAGCATGCCTCAAAACATGTATATCAATGAAATAGAATCGGAGGCATATGTGTCAGTGTACTTTATTTATGTGTGATATCCTCATGTTACTAATATCTGAGTTACATATTACACACTTACTTAATGGCAGCTGACAGTATGAGAGGGTACAGTTATATTTGTAGAATTACAATTGTGATGATAATATGTGCAACTTACCGGCCATTTTTATCTCTTCAAGAGATCCTCCAACCACAAGTTTGCTGATATCCCGAGAAGAGTTGCATATGGTATATGCTGGCATACTGGAATGTGTCTGCCCTATAGATATCTATTCCAGTTGAAGTAATATTTTGTGTACAATGAGACAATGTACATTACACAAAACTACTCTAATTGTGAATATATCTACCTTAGACATGAACAAAATCCACATATTGTTTACTGAACATGTTTTGTCTTATCTAATCAATTGTGATTCTCAACTTGCTTCCCATTAATGTAAATGTCAATATAATTGTATCTTTTACAAACTGCTGCATGTACTGGACAGTTTGTCGTGTATGAATGTATGTATGTAGACCTGTTCTTTCACACATCAGAAGGAAGCAAACGAACCAAAGAAACATGTTAAGAACAAGGTAACCCGACAAGACAAAACTTGCATCGAAAATCCAACAAGCTCTTGATCGTATGCATGATGAATGAGTATATTTAACACAAACTGGCTAACAACCAACTATTTTATACAAATCTGACAGCAACATTAAACTGCAGCGGTGCTTGTGATGTCATTACAGCAACTTAATGACGTCAAAATAGCAAAACCAAATAGCCCTATAAAAGAGAGGAGATTTCATAGAAGTGGGTACACTTATTTGCGATAAACATGCTTTCACCAATAAAGCGGACAGACTGGGGCCACGGGAATTGCAGTGCCTTGAAAGCAACAACCATTTGATTTCCTGTAGAACGAACACAGTCAGATAGGACATGCGAATTGTAGTACAGAATTTCGAGCCTTTGCAAGAGAAAGTATTTTTCATTTTGAGACACAAAAATGTACTCTATAGTTCCAAAGTCCGGGGTGTCGTTGTCGTAGTCATGAACTATGACACATCCTCTACGAAAAGTCATACAATGTATATCAGCCTGTTGACACTTGTATACCATCTCTGCGCCATAGAATATATCTCTGAGTGCCTTCGTACGTTGGCATGCCATCTCCAACTGTGGCCATTGTTTCTTTAGGAGCACCCGATCGCCTTTGCCAACATTATCTCCCACGTACAGGAAATTGTTAGTAGGGTGACCTAGAAACCCAAGTTGCATGTATGACATCATTACCTGGTGTTTTTTCATAAGAGTCAGTAAGACATTCTTAAAACATCTCAGCTTTAGGTTCTTAAAGAAAGCATTCTTAGCTTCAAAACGCATACACCATTGACTTCTTCCTGGTCCGAACATTTTCATCTGATAAGGTAGGTGTACCAAGAAGTGGAATTTGGGGAGGAAAGATGCTTTGGGATATTGTTGAATGAACATAGAATGATGTTCAAATATGAGCTGTTCTAATCTGGCAATTGCATTCAATTGCATTCAAGCTTGTTACGATGTGTGTTATTGTAAAAAGGCTCAAGAGACAATGCCATTTCATATCTTGGGTGGGTACCTGTGGGCCAATGACAAACGGTAATATTGAGCACAACGTAAGCACCGCTGATGCAGTTTGCTTAAGTTTTGTTTCAATAAACACATCTTTGTGAAACAATGTTTCTGGCTTCTCTGTGTCGAGATAGGTGTATGGAAATGATTGGATTTTCATATTTAGCCATTTCAAAGAGAAATACTTTTTCACAGCTATTGCATGATGCAAAAACAGCTGCAATTCGTACTTCACCACACCTTCCAAAAACAAGTGCATAGGATCATGGACGAGGGTTTGTACCAAAGGATGATTAGGAATAGTACAAAGACAGCTTCTCTGATTGATACCCCAATGTTTGCTCCAATATCGTTTTGTTTCTTTAGATGGCAAAGTTTCTAAATCCCGGCACCTTTCTAAATATCTTTGTAAATTTCTTGGCTCAAAAGCTGAATGCAAGAAGGATTTTGACATATTTTTAGTGGTGGTCTCGCATGAACGACAGGGCTTTTCAGCAAAAGACACACCCTCTTTAAACCCGCCTAGCCAGTTTGCTGCAGGAGTATCTGCTTGAATAATCACTAATGATCCTTCAATGTTGTGAACAGATCCATTTATTCTCATTTCAATACCCCCATTTTCAAGTTTGGTGACACACTCAAGAAAATCTCTGAGGAGTTTTCCTGGTCCAAATTTGCGCAGATGCACTGTTTTCCCCATGCCAGCTAACCAAATGGTATGCAGTTTTGAACGGAATTGTGGTGGAATATTTCCCAGTGAAAAGTAGAAAACTGTAATTTTGTGTTTTTTCACATGCGTTCCAATAGGATTTGTAATTTCAATGTCATCAGTGTTCAACATAATCTGCAATGCATTCAATTTTTGACTAAGCAATGGGTATTCTTTGAAGAATATGCAATCACATATGTCAAACATCACGTCTGAAGTAGACATGTGTGATTGTTGTTGCCATTTCCAAATTTCTGGTAATTCAAGCAGTGATTGTAGTTGCTTTTCAAAAGGAATGATGTAGCCATATCTTGGTTCTCGTAACACCCTGCATCGTTTCACTGATGTAGTAGTACCTAAATAGACCTTTACAGGGGCTATCAATCTGCAATGTTCTCTATAGGTTTTTTCCGTTCTGTGCTGATTTGCTAATGCCTCAAAATGCATGTCATTTTCAATATTATCTAAGAGTTTGTCATTGAGGCCATGCTGAACTAAACATTCTTTAGCCTTCTCCATAATGAGCTTGTAATTCTCTTCCAACAGGTGGCATGTCTCGCCAATGATGGCATCAACTGCTCTGTTTGACAAACTATGTTTTGCCTGTAAGGACATTACAAAATTGAGTTCTGTGTAACTTTTGTGTGATAGAGTTGGAAGTGAAGAAAGTGTGTCTGGCTCAGGTAACATGGTCTCTAATCCAGTATCGTTGCCATCAAGATCCTGCATTTGATTCTGTGAATGCTTTCTGAAAACATGTTTGTGGAATGCTGTAATACTCTTTGTCGTGTAACAACAACCATTCCATGTACATGGCACTAAAAAGTGTGGGTCATTCTTGTGGTTTCGTATGATGTGGTTCAAATATTGCCTGTGGTTGTTACTATGAAAATAACACATAGAGCAGTCCATGTCGAGACAAAGGTTGACGGGATTAAGACACTTTGAGCATGATGTGATATTACTATACCCGAGAAGAATAACTGGGAACATGAAATAAAACAATCTCAGGCTGATAGCAGGAGGCCCAGCCGTTTGGAGACCTAAATTAGTGACCTTCCCCATAGACTCTCACTAGGCCTAGATTAGGTGATTAAAAAGTCTAAAATGACCAGACCATATCATGAACAACATTGTGCCTATCAAAATGAAGTTGTTAGTCTTACTTGTGGTGTTGTTCTACATCAAAAATAGAGATTTACTAAACACCGTTGCCAGACGTGTCTCCGATGCAAAATGGCGTACAAATATGACGACATAAATAATGATGTCATATGTCACGTTCCTACCCAGAGATCATTGTGGTAAATGCTCGAAGTGTTGTCATATGCATTCAAATGATATCGGGAAATTCCGACACAGTGTGTATTGACCCGAATGCGGGTTGTATTTTCAACACAGTATGTTTAGACTGCGAATGGTAAATCTAAACACCTGTGTTTAACATTGGCCAGTTTCATGTTTTAATTTAACTTTAAATCATACCAGGCATGAAGGAATAAGTCTTTAGACATCTTACAGGTGATAGTAAAACTCCGCGAACAACTTTTTGACATGTAAGTTTTACACTGAACAGCAAAACTACGACACTGAACAGATAAATCAGTTTTATAACATGGTGTGTCATCAAAAAGTTAAAATATTGAGTCCAAACACATGTTACGTGGCAGACTCTACATTATATATGTTTCAGTAGTTTCTTACACTGCAAGTTAGCAGTGTTTAAAACTTAAACGCTCAGGTATTAACGGCTATGTGCGATCTAACTATACGCATGTCGTATAGTTATTATGCAGTGTAGTGTTTAAAATGTAACACGAAATGTATAAAATATTAACACTCTAGACACAGATTTTTTACAGTGTAG